CTTTCCACTTCCACCTCAAATTCCCCTTCTTGCGCTCGCTCTACCCACCTCACTTCTTTCTCTGCTTCCCCTTCATGCGCTCGCACTCGCTCTCCCCCGCCCCCTCCCTACCTCACTTCTTTCTCCGCTTCCCTTTCATGCGCTCGCTCTCCCCCTCCCCACCTCACTTCTTTCTCCGCTTCCCCTTCTTGTGATCGCTCTTTGCCCGCGCCTTCTTTCGCATGTCGTCCTTGCGCATGCGCGGGTCGACGACCTTGAACGGGCCCGTCACGCCCTTGGGACGGCTCGCTCGCTTGCCCATGCCNTGAGACGAGCGCTGTCGCTCCGCGGCACTTGTTAGTATACCCTGTTGATTGATACTATACCATAGTGGCATACTATGGCTTGGTAAAGGTTGGTGAAATATATATATATATATATTGCACACGGCCATGCTAACGTTGGGTGATCACTTGTCAGCACGAAAACAATGAGGTCTTAATTTAGATTGAAAGTAACAAGGTTTTTTNCCCCAATTTTCGAACATAGCCAGTTCGAGAGCATCCCACTTTCAACAAACATTAGTTCCAGAGACCCTGACCCTCATTTTCAGGTCCGAGTTAGTTCCAGAGCCCCCCCCCCTGCCATTTTTGACTTCGCAGTGGCACATACCTACCCTAATGTGGCTTCTCTAGCCCAGCATGTGTGCAAAACCCATAATTTGTGTGTGTGTGTGCAGACGAAGCGTTGCTTCGTATAGCAACGTGTGAGTTGTGTCCAGTACTGACTCGCTTCCACAAAACTCAACAAATCAAAAAAGCAATCACAAACGCAGAACTTGAGCGAGAGAATTTATGGTCTTTATATTAATAACGTAAACCATACATCATCCCGACTGCCCCTGTACTAAACCTCTTCACGTGCTTCTCTGCCACGTTTCACCCTAGAAGTAAACGCACGACAATTCTGGCAATGTTTCTGTACATGACGAGTATTCGCCTGCACGTTTCTCTGAGCTCACAGATTTCGAGAATTTATCCAGCATTTCTTCAACGACTACGACGAATAGAGAGCATCGGCGATCACAATTTTGCGCCACTGTCTTCTCTTGGCGCGATCTCACGAGAGATTTCAGCAGCCCCCGTCTCTATCTTAAAAATCTAACGAACAATACTGTGTCAATGATCGAATTCCTCCGCTACTCCTCCTCCCTCGACGCAATACGACGAGACGTTCGAGCACGCCCCCTCCCTACTTCCCCACCCACCAAAATATCTCCCTTCTCCCTTTCCACTTCCACCTCAAATTCCCCTTCTTGCGCTCGCTCTCCCCACCTCACTTCTTTCTCTGCTTCCCTTTCATG